ATTGGGCCTCCTTCACGAATAACTTCGTAAGAAACTTCTTAAATTTCTTCTCAAGTCGTTCTTCAGTAGATTTTTAAGAAGAGCCTACGTGGGATTCATCAACGCGCTCTTAAGCCGCTGAATTGTTCGCAGCTGTTCTCTCAGATTGATGAATGCCAACTCCTCGTAAGTAGAGCGCGCGTGCCCGGTGATTCATTAGCATAGGTACTTAGCATAGGTAACCGCCCACTAATGCCCATATAAGGGACTGCAGGGCCGTGTGCAGACGGCAGAGGAAACGGCAATAGGCCTAAAGCAAAGAGTTACACGGAGCAAAAGAGTCACCCTTTTTTCTTCTTTTGCCAGGCTGAGAATAAAGTTATAAAATGTTGACTTAAAAGTCAAAATATTATGAGAATAAAGTCGAACTAGCAAAATTATGAGATTAATCTAAGAATATGATGAGATGAATCTCAAAATGTTATGAGCTTAATTTAAAAATATATTATGTATTATTTTAAAGATGAATCTCAAAATGTTTTGAGATTAATCTCAAAATATTTTGGACCCTGGGAGGAGATCCAGCGCGGACCAGCGCTGAGACCAATGCAGACCCGAGGAGAGACTGGAGTGACCAGCGCGGACAGGAGAGACCGCATAGACTGGAGTGACCTGACTGGAGAGACCGGTGCGCAGAGACCAGCGCGGACCGAAAAGAGACCGCATAGACTGGAGTGACCTGACTGGAGAGACCGGTGCGCAGAGACCAGCGCGGACCGAAGAGAGACCGCATAGACCAGACTTGAGAGACCAGCGCGGACCCGTATGGATCCAGGAGCATGCAGCACGGACCCGTATGGAGAGACCAGTGCAGACCCGTCTAGAGCCATGGGAGAGACCAGTGCAGACCCGTATAGATCCATGGGAGAGACCAGTGCAGACCCGTATAGATCCATAGGAGAGACCAGTGCAGAGACTCAGCGCGGACCCCGCAGCCTCCTGCAGCAGCAGTATATATGCCGTTGTTCTGTGGCCCGTGGATAAAGAAATGCCCCCTATAAATAGGAAGGGGTCACTAATACACGGCAAGATTTCCAATGTATTTTGAAAAGCGTTGGCACATTTAATTTGAAAATGAATATGAAAAATAATATGTAACCACAAAAATGAAATAATAGATTAAATACATACATCAATATGACGGACATATCACTGGAATGTTGTATTTTTATTAAACTTCACCAAAGAGGACAACCCCGGCGTGTGAACATGTCGGCACTGAATGCGTACGAGTGCTCCTGTGGACTCGTAGGATTTATACTTGCCCAAGAGAAATTCTGGTTACGAGAAAAATTTGTGAATGCCACTTTCTTCGTAAAAACCTCGTAAGTAGGATTTACGTACAAATCTGTTCCTAAGAACCGTTCGTGAATGAGGCCCATTGTCGTCTTTAAAGCATCATTTGTCTAAATTGAATTACAATGAAACCTTATTGGCTGGTGATTTGAATTGGGGACTGGTTCAATGTTGTTTCTGATGATTTTAAATCCTTTTGTGACTCTATTAATCTTAGCCAGCTGGTTAACCTACCCACAAGGCCCAATCTCAAAAATCCTTATAAGTCAACCTTGATTGATTTAATTCTAACAAATGCTCCTCATAGATTTTCATCTTTGCAACGACCTAAGTGATCACTGTGTTGTTGCTACTTGCAGGAGCACTAAAATCCCCAAATGCAAACCACACACTATTTACAAAAGAAACTTAAAACAATTTAATGAACAAGCCTTTCACCACGACCTGTCTCTGGTTATTTGGGGACAAATATATGTGAAGAAGATGACAAAGTCTGGGATCGTGTCTTAAATTCCGACAGAAGACATGTTTTATTGTCAATGGTAGAAACAGCACGAACAACACGAACAACAGAATGCAAGTGTATTATACAGAGCGGAGGCATGGAGACCTCCAATCAGCAGCTGCCACGGTGCCATGTAGCTTGGCCTTCAGATAGACAAAACAAGGGAAAAGTACTGGCTTCTGCACATTGATAGAATGATGAGTTTAACTTTAACAAAAGTTGCTCAAAAGTGTTATGAAATCTCTACATATGTATTGCCAGTGGTTGAGCTAGCTTGGACGTTCTTTAAGGAAACTTTTGAGAAAATTGTAAACAAACATGCTCCTATAAGAACATTCAGAGTAAAGGGTCGTGAAAACCCCTGGTTTTCACCAGAGTTATCAAAAACTATTCATCAGCGTAATGTAGCATGGGCCAAGGCCAGAAAAACGGATTCTGCCTCTGATTGGTCAGTCTTTAGACAACTGAGAAATAAATGCACCTCTCTTATCAAAAGGGCTAAATCAGAATACTATACCTGTCAATCACAACCAAGAACCTCAATAATCCACAACAATTTTGGAAAGTAATTAAGTCTTGATCTGTAAGTAAAAGTCCTCAGACTCTGCCCCAGTCTATGCAAAAAGTGAGATCTTAAATTGCTTTAATAAGCATTTTGCATAATCTGGTTCTCTGTTTAACAGTACAGGAACAGCCACTGTGACACCCCTCACTGACCCTCCAATGTTTCCTGGAGACCCTTTCAACTTTGTTCCGTTTGATGTGCAGCAGGTGCATACAATTCTCAAAACATTAGATTACAGGAAACCTCCTGGACCAGATTTGATGGAACCCTAGTTTTTTGAAAATGGCAGCTGATTTTGTAGCCCAGCTTCAAACTTTTCAATCTCTCAATCAAAAACAAAGAAATACCATCAGTTTGGAAATCAGCTTTTGTTATGCCTCTGTTAAAAGGCGGAATCCAGCAGTTTTAACGAATTATAGACCAGTATCACATTTGTGTGTCCTGTCAAAAATTATGGAATCCCTTGTATCTGACCAACTAAAAGATTTTCTATACTCAAATGAACTTCTCTCCAAGTTACAATCATACTTCAGGAAAAAGCACAGCACCATCACTGCGGCTACAAAAGTCATAAATGATATACTTGTTGCTCTTGACAAAAAACAGTACTGTGCGTCACTTTTTATTGATCTGTCAAAAGCTTTTGACATGGTGGACCATGTCGTTTAAAAGCATAGGCTTCTTTGTTTGGGACTGTCAGATCACGTAGTCTCCTGGTTCACAAATTATTTGAATGACAGGACCCAGTGCATAAAATGTGATGGTCAGTGTTCTGACTTTGTGACTGTCCACAAGGGGGTGCCACAGGGCTCAATATTAGGACCCCCCCTGTTCATAATGTATATGAATGAAATGGGACAAAATGTGTCAGATGCTAATTTACATTTTTATGCTGATGACACAATTATTTACAGTTTTGGAATGACTCCAGCCAAAGCTGCTGAATCTCTGCAGATTGTTTTCAAACACTAAAAAAGGACCTCAATCTGTTCCTGCGTTATCCACATTGGAGGGAAATGTCATAGAGATTGTTCATACGTACAAATACCTTGGGTATCGTGCTTGATGACACCCTCACTTTCAAACCCCATATCCAGAATCTTGCAAAGAAGCTCAAACATAAATTGGGCTTCTTTTTCAGAAACAAATTTTGTTTTTCTTTTAATGTGAAAAAGCGGCTTGTTACTGCAACATTTTTATCTATTTTAGATTATGGAGACCTGATATATATGAATGCCTCAACTCAAAGTCTCCGTCAGATTGACACTTTGTATCATTCTTCTCTGAGGTTCATTACGAACTGCAAAGCCTTGACTCACCACTGTGAAGTATATTCTGGGGTGGGATGGCCTTCTTTGTCCAGCAGAAGGTTTGGACACTGGTGCACTTTTATTTATAAGGCTATGCTTGGTCTGCTGCCCTCTTACATCTGCCATTTACTCACACAAAGAGAGGTTGGTTCATATGGTTTGCGATCAAATGATCTTTTGTTGCTCTCTGTTCCTTTTGCCCGCACAGAACTGGGGAAAAAGGCTTTCGTATTTGCTGCTCCTTCTACATGGAACGTGTTGCAAAAAGACTGGAAATTATCTGAATTTATTTCATTGAATTCTTTTAAATCCAGATTGAGAGAACTTGAGACGTCCTCATTGAAATGTGACTGTTTTTATAATCCGTAATTTTATGAAATTGTATGTAACTGTTTCATAATATGTATGTATGTAACTGTTTTATAATATGTATGTATGTAACTGTATGTAACTTTTGGCCAGGACTCCCTTGAAAAAGAGGTTCTTAATCTCAATGGGACTTTCCTGGTTAAATAAAGGTGAAATAAATGAAAACAATTATAATACCAAACACATTTTGTGATTAAAAACACATGTTTACTCATTTTATTTTATTCTTCTCTTAATTTTATTGTCTATTATCTTAAATAATAGACTATTTGATGTGTGCAATCTGAGTGCTCTTATTTCCTTTCTCTGCTGTAATGTGTGCAACGATGACACTGAAATTTCTCCACTGTGAGACTAATAAAGGTCTTATCTTATCTTATCTTATCAAACACCCATCAGCCAGGAAAAGAGGCAGGAAGAGCTTGAGGAAGAGGAAAACAAGGAAAGAGGAGGAGGACATGGTTGAAGACACTATAAATATATTAGAACTATATTATTATTAAACAATATTTCTGATGACCTAAGAGCAATTTTGGTGGATCATGTGATCAATCATACCCTCACAATAAGGGAAGCAGAGAGTCCAGCCACAGCTCCGACATAAGGAGCGTCAACTCTCTACTCCATACTGTATATACAGTATTTACAGTAATTTACTGTATCACATGTACTGTAGACTGTATCTACAGTACATGTGATACAGTACTGTGCTGTATTGCGAGTTAGCTATTGCTCCTTTTGAAAAATGTACAGTTTTTTCCTATTGATTGAACACTATAGACAAACGCTTAGACCAATGTTAAAGAACCTGAAGCTTTTGACAAAATTAAAGCACATGAATGTCATTAAATCACTACATTTGGCTGTAGGATATCATAACGGTCAGGACGAGTGGATTGCCTTTCACAGCCAGCGCATGAATCACCTCACTGTACGTCTTATTGAAGTCGACTCGTTTGGGAATCGCAGCTCTAGCCACTATAAGGGAACTCTCCAGCTGTACAGGCTTCCCAGGGCTGAGCTGGATGGAGCTGGTTCAGGTTCTGGAAACAAGAAACCCCTGGGAGATCCCATCTGCAGGCTGCCCCTCACATTACCCAAGGTGCAGCAGAATCTACCTGTAATTCAAATTTTTGGTGCATTAACTTTGTTTTATTTTGGTTTCAGAAAGCACGGCCTATTGAATGAGCAACGTGTTTTTTTAATTATAGACTGTGGAAAGGGTGGGCAATCTGAGCACTGACATCACACATGGCGCTTTTCCTGGAAGAAGCCAAATAGAAATTACTTAAACATGAGCAGGAATCTGGACCTAAATTCTTTTCTTGGTCAGTGATTCAGATATGGTTGAGATATCTTTCATTATGCTTGGATCTGTAAAGAGCAATAGGTATTATATTGGTCTGGCATGACAACGATTCCAAACACTCAAAGGAGGGGTTTTGCAAAAAGCATTTGAAGCCCCTGGGGTAGTAACTAGTCTCTGGATTGCAACACTAAAGAACATTTTTCAAGGGAGGGGAAAGTCAGTGTTGCCCAGCGACATTCTTAAAACAGCACCGCTCTAGACGAGGTCTGCATGAAGGATTGACAAAGATACCAGCAACAGTGTTTGTAAACCTTGTGAAGACGGAAAACGTTTCACCTCTGTCGTTGCCAACAAATGGACTAAAACAAATGATAGAGATGGACTTGACTAAATACTTATTTTCTACCATCATTTGATAACAAATTCTACCTCAGAGATGGTATCTCTCATCTTTTTAAGTTTGAGGACTTGCACATTTGGTAGCTGACTACACTAGCCCCACTGTGTTCTCTATTAGTGAATGCATTGAATTGCATAAAATTGCAAGAACGTCGATTCCAACTCCGAACAGTGGCTTTCTGTGTTGAGTTTGCATGTTCTCCCAGTATCTGCGTAGGTTTCCTCTGGGTGCTCCGGTTTCCCCTACCCCTTAAAACATGTACAATTGGTCTGGCATGTGCCACCTGTAGAGCACCTCTCCCATCTCTTGCCTTGCCTTGCCTTGGAGTGAGAGGACAAATATCCACAGCAATTGTAAAGTTCTTTGTGACTCTGGTCTGTAAATAAAGATGTTTTACCAGTTGCAAGCACTCTTGGTTACCCTAGCAACACCCTGCCACTCCCCCATTCTTTTGCTAAGCGAGTTGTAAAGGTATTATGTAAAAAGTCAGCTCTGTGATATTGTCATTTTTTTGAGTAATTTACTTGAAAATAATTAGTTGAACTTGTTATATTTTAATCCCAACTCTAACCCCTCCCTTTTTATTTGTTTTGTTAAAAGGCAAGGTGCCCTTTTGACCCAGACAGGGCAATTGATAATGCTGGTGTATCTTATTATGATAAAATCATGTACTCAACATCTGAGACATAGAACAAAGAGGCATTTGTGTCTTGCAGAAGGATTTGACTGTGGGAGCAATGCACAATGGGGAAAAAGACAGACCCCTTCATGCAATTATATAACATAGATTACGAGAACTTTGCTAGTTAGAAGATATAGAACAAATACACAGGTCAGTGATTCATATATGCTTAAAATCTTTTATTATGCTTAGATCAGTTCAGAGAAAGAAAAAAGTAAATCACAAGTAATCACAAGTCAATGTTATTTTAACCAACCACCTCATAATTCATTTTAAGTAACACTTAACATACTTCTACTAAAAATATCTAGTATACTCTTAAAACTGCCTTCTATTTCTCCTTGAAATCTTTCTTTCGCCAAAGTAGCAGAATTGCTACCCTAACTCCTGAATCCAGGAACATTCCTAAACATTATAGTTTTTAATTCTTTTCTGCATTTATTTTTTTCTCTACTTCATCTTATTCTTGTATTTTTTTTCAGTTCTATTGTAGTAGTCCTCTGTGGCTAATGTTAAAAGATATGTAATTGAAGATATCCTGTCTGAAAAGTTGTCAAGTGTTGCCCCCCATATTATAACACAATTTAAAAAAGGATTAGACATTGATTAAAAATTGATTATACAAATGAATATGTCTGATTTAAGAGAAGAATAGGAAAATAAACTTTTTAGGCCCCAGATAAACACAGTTATTATTTTTATGTTGTCAAATAAGTTGATAATATGTGCATTTGTCAGAGGGCCACAAAACTCCTACAGGGGAAGAATTTACATTGGAACTAACATGTTTCTGCTTGGAGTTCCTGCTAGTGCTAAGATGTTAAGTTAGCATCATATTGACGTGGCTGCCACAGTAGATGGTCCTAAACTTAAGGCAGACACAGATTCTTTCACACTGTAAGGAGGGTCAAAATCCAGGTTTTCCAAAGTCCAAATCCATTGCAGGGGTCTGAAGCCGGTGGGTTGTCATGGTCACAACCTGACGAGGACATGTGCATATTAATGGCTCAAAAGTCATAGTATCTCATTTCTATTTTGGCTGCACTTCAACATAAATTGCCAACATAAATTGCCAAGGATTTCATAATCGTATATATTACATTGTCCTTACTTTGTTGAGAATGTGACCCGGGTTATCTCTTTCAGGCACTTCGGCAGTCCTGAAAAAAAAAAAAAAACAATTGTTTTTAAGTAATGCAGATAATAAACATATATTGAGCTTAGTGAATCCATTGATCAGTGTCTTATTATTTGTTAAGTATTGCATTTACTAGATTTTACTAGCCCTATGTGTTATTTACCCCAGTTATTTTTGTATGAGTGTAAGCTACACACACATATGTATATAAAATGCACACAACAGGAAGACTTGTGATTTGGGGAAAGAAGCAGAAATGGTTACCGGTTCACATTTGCCGTCAGCTTCAACGCACAGACTGACAACGGCGTGCAAGAACAAGTCACTTGTAGGGACGTCAATGTAGTCATAGGTATTAAATGCATAAGCTGCATAGGCGTCAGTCCCAGAGGTAGTGATCACAACAGTTCCGTCAGTGGGAGATGGACAGCTGTGAAGGAGGGACACAATAAAACACGTTCATATCTTCACATTGCAAAGTAAATTGCACAAAGTGAAAATATTATTTATGCAAAAAACAACTTGAATAAACACACTTACTTGGCGTCGATGAGGCTATATACATTTGCACCTTCTGGGTCATTATCAGTTGTGGTGAAGCACTTATTAATGACCAGTACCAGGCCACTGTCACCCAGATCCGTAGCTTCCAGCTTCACGTACACCTTCTGGTTTATTTCCAGTTGAGCGTCTGCGGTCAGTTGTTCGGTCATGGCTGCATCACTGTATACGGAGATGGTCAGAGGGAAGGTGTAGTCTCCTGCTGTGTATTCCTGAGTAATAGAGCTGCAACACAGACAAAGTTTAGGATCCTGACCAATTCAATTTTACAAAATCATTTACAAGTTGTGTTTTTAGGGTAACATACCTTGTTTTCTTAAATTATTTAAAACCATTTTACTGAACAGGTGAGCCCTGCAGAGTAGTTGTTTATGACAGTATTTTTCAACCACTGTGGCACGGGGCAGACTAGTGTGCTGTATGATATTGTCTGGTGTGCTGTGAGAAATTCGCCTACTTTGTCTAATGATAAATGCATCCAGCGTTGGCGAGTGCTGCTTTGCTTTGAACTGTGGAGTATCCACGTAATACTTTTTCAAATCAGTAGGTGGCAGCAGATAGCTAAGTACTTTGAAATGTAAGAATTGGACATAAACAACAAATATAACAGATAGCGGGAGAATTTTGGCGAGTGAAAAGTGAAAGTGATTAGGACGTTTTTGAAAAGGAATTATGCCATTTCTGAACAAGATTCACATCCTCCGCTCTGACCCCGAGGCATCTGTGGCTGCGTTGTACTAACAGCCGCTTTAACAACAGCTCAGCGAACCTTAGACGTGCAGACAGAACCATGGACTCGTGGACAGAACCATGGACGCGCGGACAGAAACTAAAGCCTAGTGTACATCGACAGAGTAACTGGAGACAACTAGTTGCAAGGCGGCTTTTGGCAACTGAGAGTAGATGATGGGAGATGATCAGTTGCCAAAATCGGTCGATGTGAGCGCTCTTACAACTGGAGATAAACAGTCGATCTCCGGATTCAGTCAGTTGTTCTACTTTTCGGCAACTAGTTGTCCTCAGATCCGGAGATATCACCTGATGTGCATGTTATTTATGCACTAAAGTAAAATGTTGTGAACAAATCAAACAGAACACACAGCAGAACATTTTCTTAATTATCATTTTTCACACATAAGAGCCCTGTGAGTCATTATTTGACTTTTTGGGCTGAGAGAGGATTTTTAAAATATGTTTTGCCACTTTATTCCTAAACTCTTGTTAATTATTTGTTTGGCTCAAAAAAACACTGTTTTATGATGTATTCATTTTTGAAGAATGCTGCTCTAAAATCAAGATGTATAAATCCCTTGGAGAAAATGTACCCGTCTTTAATCTGGAAGCTGAAAGCTGTGGTGGAGTCCAACTCCTTCTCAAACGAGCATGAAAATTTGATATTCACACTGTTTTCACGAGTGATCTGGCCGTCCATGGTGTTCTGGATTGCGTTATCAAATTGGATTTTATCGCCTGCAACCTAAAAAGAAGAATCAAAGGCAATATGGTCATTTTAAACTAAAGTTTAACAAATTAAAAGCATAACCTGCTTCTTTTATTTTGCACGTTTGGTGTTTTCAACAAATATACTTGTTTATTGTATAATATTAGACAAAAGAAAGTATGTACCGTAGAAGTTGCACCACATGGGTTCTGGGTGTCAAATGTAAACTGCAAAATATTTCCATTTGACTGTCCAGTGCAGGTGTCATCTTTCAGATGTAGATCATCAAGGTTAACGTCCTCTTCCACCAATAAACAGCCAATCAGGCTTACAGAGGCGGTGCCATCATCACAAGTGGCATCAGGTCCTTTAAAACAACAACAAAAATTTTCAGTTTGATCATAGGATCAACACAATATGAGTCTCTTCACATGAGTGAGGATTTGTGCAATGAATATTTGAACATTCAATTTCTATGTTGACATTTATTCACAGTGTCACAAGCATTGCTTTTTGTAATGAAAAACATAGTGTTGAACTTGTACCATATGTGCCGTCATCTCGAAACCCGTTTACTGTTTCGTTTAGACTTCTGCAGAAACAGGCAGCATCTCCACTGAGCGCCACGGCACAGAACTCATGAGATGCACACTCATGATACAAACAAACTGAGGCAGCTGAAAAAGAAACACATAGTTCTCATCTCCACCACTACACTACAGTCTGTATACACAAATAAGCTGCCTGGCAAATATACAAATAATGTGAAAGTGTAAAACATTAGTCAGGGCTGGAGGGCTTTTTAGATTTTAAAAAAGTGGACTTTTGGAAAAACAAGTGAAAAAATAATTTTCATGGCCTTTTTCAGGGAATGACAAATAAAAATATATAAAAAATATAAAACCAGTTTGGTCAGTGCATCTAAACTACAAATTTGAGAACAAATCCAAATCTGCTGAAATGAAATGACCTGATTCAAGTATTTTTAACTCATTCAGATGAAATCGCATGTGAAAATAAAACGTACAGCAATCGTAGGAGTCGAGGTCGGCGGTGCGGGCGTAGGCTTGCTTAAAGCGGCAGTAGAGATCGTCGCCGTCATGATAGCCACACAGCAGGTTGTCAGCGCAGGCTTTGACGTAGGGGGCTATGTCGACAGAATCCACCTTCACAGAGTTCAATTCATCAGTGCATCTGTGAAACAAGACAAATAATCATGAGAATACAATGAACTTACAGTATACGACATTCAAAACTCTTTATTTATACTTTATACATTCACACTGTTTGTTTCATAGACTGTATATATTGACGGACGTAGTCACGCCTATCTCCGCCGTTCTAACTAAGGGGCCAAAAATAGTGCTCTACTGGAGCAATCCAAAATGGCCGCGAGTGGTCCCGCCCACAAGAAAATTGTGAAAAAACGCATCTGCACAAGCTTCAGCCGGCGCAGCTCCATTCATTTGAACGAGAGACTTCAAAAATTCACACCAAGTAAACTAGAGTGGTCCAAAAAAATTCCCCCCCCCCCTCAGCATTGACACACATGTGGAACGGAGCTTTGAGCCAAGAGCCAACTTTTGGACCATCCTGTAAAGACGTTTTCGAGAGGTCTGCCAATGCTTTATGTTAGCGTTGGCTAATTCTTCTTCTGGGTCCACCCCCATCGGCCCGGGGTGGTATTGCAAGCATGTCAGCGCACGTCATTTTGGCCACTTTTGAGCTGGGACCTGCCCCCACTGGTTTGTTTAGACTAAACTGAAGACACAGCTGCCCTGGGGTAGATAAAAGCAAGTCTGCCAAGCTACTGCATAAGACTCGCAAACAACCACCAATCATTCACAATTGTGTCACATTCAAGCTCATCACGATTCTATTTTTTAACCATGATAAATATTCTTAACTTTTGTCTTTGGTTTTTCAGTTTTTGTTGAGAACGCACTAGAAAGTTACCCAGAAGTGACGATGTGCGGCCCACTGTTATAATAGTGCTGTTCAGAACTCTCTAATATAATGTTATAATGTTGGCTCACCGGGTTTGTTTGTCGGAGCAGGTAATCCCATCACCTCGAGAGTCCGAAACGATGGTGTCACAACTAGAGGAAAATTGAGAACAAAAATTAAGGGAGGACACACAGTAACGTAAACTTTTTGACCATGATATTGTTTTCTTGTGTCATGCACACACAAAGCTGCTTTTAGCAACACATGTATGAAGTTCATTATGTCTCCACAGGTTTAAGGCTTAGAAGTTTCTTATGATGAGACAAAGGCATAAAGAATGTAGTTCTGCTTAATTGTCTGACATGTTTCCATCTGCTGTTAGCAACATTCACACATGTTCGAGAGAAGTTGTACTGTATCCCTCGAAACGCCGTCGCTCCCCACTCTCCTCTGACCTCCGCAAACCTAGTTCCTCCCCTGGGTTTTTACTTTCTTTGGCAGTTATCTTTTCTGGTTCTGTGGTGTGTGGAGGATTCATCTGCCTTAAGTGGTCAAAGTGGATAAATGTAATGATGTTGGAGCTCAATGTTCAGATTTCATATGAACTCATGTTTAAAAATCTTCCACTGGAGGCATCATATATAGAAGATGGAATAGTATTATGTCAACTTTAAACACACTTTTAAACAAAGCATTCAAATATATATGTTTATGTTTCATATTTGGCTCTGAATGTGAAGCATTTTCCTTTTGTTTAGGTTGTGTCATGTCCTGGGGTTAGGTGTTAAAGACTTCAAACTTACCTGGATGAAGAGTAGGTGTTGACCTTCTCACCAGTGATATCAGTGGCATCAAAACACACACCACCTGTGTATGCAGTTTTTCCACTTGGCACTGTGGGGTAAAAAGTAGTTTCAGACTACATTATTAAAAAACCTTTTTTGTTTACTATTTGTCTTTATTATTATTATTATGGTTTTACGACGGTTTTCCTTCAGTTACATTCCGTCATGTTTCAAGTTTATGAAGTTCACGTTTCTACCACTAGAGGAGGCTGTTTCACTACTTAAGATAATTTAATAAATCATGTGTCCATTATCATGTTCTAAAAGAGGAAATGTTACATAGTCAAAAAACAATACAGAGTGTTTTCCTGATGAACGGCTGGAATAAGCACCTGTATGTTTCACATGCAGTAAGGTGCCCTCAAAGAAAATCTCAGTGATGATGCCGTCGCTGTCAGTAAAAGAGGCCAATGGTCCATTGCCGTGGTCGTACAGGCTTAAGCCTATCTGGGTTTTTACAGTCGAGCTGAGGGTCAAATCTGTAGTCCCAGTAGACTCCTGTTCAATCAAATAATAACATTCTGTTACACACATCTGAGGAAAATGCATGAGAAAATTAATGCACTAAGCATGTATTATTCAATCAAAATATAATGAGAAAGATGTTCTGTTAAAAATCTTTTTTTCCATTCTAACTGAATTTTGGGTTTAACTTTTTATCTTTGCTGAAACACGACTACTATTAGCTTTACCCAACACAATACTGCTACAATAAAGCAATAGCAAAGACAATTTCAAACAGTTGAATAATGGGCAATGGTCATTTTGATTCCTCATCTGCCAATTATACAATTTAAAGAATGATAGAACGGCTTCATCAAAAGGTTAAACACACCTTCAGTTCTGCTTTTCCTCCCTGGAGCAGAGTAACAATGTCTGTTCCTCCAGAGGTTGTACTGATCTTTACTGAGTCCACGAAGGGGGTGTCTTTGTAGCGGCGCTCTCTGAGTATTGCGGTTACGACCAATCCACCTCCTGAGACGATGTCATAGGCACAAAAATCAGGAATAACAGCAGTTGCACCGCTTACAGCCACCACGCTGTTGGCCACAATGGAGCAGGAGTGTTCACTGCCACATCTGAGAGAAGTCAAGGGGGAAAATCAACACAAATCACTCACAAAAACGTCAACAAATGAGTTGAATTTGATTTGTTTTATTGATAATCAATCATTGGGAATTTTTAAACAGAGATCACAAATAATCACAAGTAAGTGACACAAGCTGAAATAGGTTTGAAAAATCTGCATATTATACTTACACATCGTTGCCCATACAGACTTGATTTGTGGCACAATTGCTTCTGGATTGAAAATCACCAGAGCCTAAACACGTCTTGATGCTGCAGGTGTCAGAGTCACGTCTCACCTCCTCATCAACCTTATAGCTTTTACCTAAGCCTATATAAAGACATTTGATTACAATTATGAGAGTAAATTCAGTAAATCAACGTACAAGGATTATAGGAAACTTCATCTCAAAGAAGACAAAATGAATGCAGAATAAGAATAAACGAATCAGTAGTGAGGCATGCAAGGAAGTGAGACTGAAAGACTTACCCGCTCTGCAACGAGTGAGGTCCTGAGAGTCTGTCTGAGCTCCAGCTGTTCCTGATGATGCCGTGGTCACAGTTCCACCACCATTGAAATAAAAGATAAACACCTACAATGAAAGACACAGTAATAAGGGCTGTGTGAGAATAATGGACTAAACCAGGAGTCTCCAACCTTTTTCAATCAGAGAGCTAGTTTTAAACAACAGAAGAGACAGAAAGCTACTCCTTAATCACAGCAAGAGAGAACACACATGGAGAATATGTGTCATGCAAAATATACTCTTATAATGAATAACTCTATATTCATACCATACGTAACGACTCAAAACGTAGTCATTTAAGAACATGTCTTAAGTTCTGCATCCTTTAAAGGAGTTGGTAAACAACTGGTAGCTCCCGAGCCACAGGTTGGAGACAACTATCAATCATTGATTCAATGTTATAAATTGCTATTATTCTCTGGGAAGACTTGAGGACCATAATATACCTGGATATAACCACAAAAAATTCAAAGGGTTTGACAACGACACAAACATGATTCTTTATAAAAAAGGATAATTTATATATTAAAGTAAACCTCACACACAAAAACTTGAAAAATTATACTGTACATAAAAAATTACTTACACCATCCCCTTCAAGATCAGCAGACATATATGCAGCTGCCTGATCTGTCCCAGCTATTTTATAGCTGACGATCAATAACTCCTGTACACAAGAATATATCATTTACCAGGGCTCAGATTAGAGTGGGCTAAACCAAACTAGGACTCCACCATAGACTGTGATCTGAGGACTAAACCAGAATCCTTCTTTAACTTTCTGATATAAACCCCCCTCATAAATACTATTTTATTTCTACAGTGCAATTCTGGTTTGAATGTCTTCTGAAACTGAAATGATCATTTATTTATCCAAAGGTGTATTGTAAAAACCTTCAGTCTAATGAAAAGATGCTTTGTGTAACCTATTGTTAGCATAAATAAATGAATGAAGGAATGCTGCATATTTTAAACCCAGAGAGGAGCAGCACTATCCTTCCTTGGTTAGCTGTTTGTTATTTAAAGTATTTCCTTATGGTTTACTCGGTCAAATAAATGCATATCGATGACTACTCCATCTCCAAGGATGTATTTTAGCTTTGAATAAAAACAGCGTAAGACATAAACAAAAGTGAAGAGACAAAGTATAAACCACAACATTATTATTGTCCATGTGTTGTGTTAAAATACTTACACCTGCTCCTCTGAATGTGCCGCTGAATTTAATGGCGCACACAGCAGAAGCAGCAGGAAGACGGCTGCTCTTTCCCTCAAGCGTTGCCAAAACAGCGGCCAACCTCGCATCAGTGAAATCAGTGACAATTTCATAATCAAGTGACAGAGGTACAGCGATAGGTGGTGAATAAATTATATCGTTTATTGCTGTGTTGAAAGTAATTAAGAACTGTCCGGGGCCAGTGTCTTGAGTGAGAAATGTTACCTGTGTCATAGGAAACCACACAAATGAAAGATTATTACAGAACAGAGAATGAGCGACAAGAGCAGGCTCAGCACTAGTGATACTTGTAATTCTTATACTTACATCAAAAGAAGAATATGGCCCAGCACCAAAGTACTTGATGGGACAAGCTGAGATGTCAATATCCGTATTTGTCGTGTCTGTTGACAACGTCACAGCCCCTAAACAGACACACAATGTCAATCTTTCATGAAAACAAACCGAAATAAAACTATTCATAAGAAACTGATGATTAACATTTTGAAATTTTTCATAAAATATGTCATATTTAGGTATAGCCGATTTCAATTTAAAACAATTGAATGTATTATTTGATATTATTTGACAACAGTAGTCATGGTCGATTTCCTTTCATAGAGTTGGAAATTAATTTTATTAAGTGGGACAATAAATACTTGGATGTTGGGATTCATTTACGAAACAAGAATACAATGATGTTATTTATTATTAGAATATAATTATTGTAAAGATATCATTTATTCTTGTATATGTGTGGTATCGTCCACCAAAAAAGCACCCAGACTTTATCAAGGAAATCCATGATTTCCTTTCAACCATCTGCACTTCCTCATCAAATGTTTTGATACTTGGTGATCTACACATACATTTTGACACTCCCTCAGACCACTTTGCAGCAGAATTTCTGGACCTTAGCATCCCGTAGCAAAGGCCATATTTTGGATCTTGTCATCACAGACTCAGTTCTCATTTCAAAACCCCACGTTTATGACATTGCTGTCTCTGATCACAAGGTTATTTCCATTGATCTCCCCCCACACAACCTCTGTAAGCCACAGCACTGTTTAACATTCAGGAACCTGAAAAACATCAATCAAACAGACCTCAACCTGGACATAATTAACCTAGTTAGTAATGCACAAAACTCCTCCATTAATGACTCTATTCTAATCACTACAATACAGCACTTCAGAACCTTCTGAATGTTCACGCCCCTGTCAAATCAAGAACGGTCACCTTCACAAAATCAGCACCGGGGTTTACCAATGAGTTTCGGCAGTTGAAAACAGCAGGCTGTGCTCTTGAGCGACGTGCTGTGAAAAGCAAAATCCATGGATGGATGGATGGACAATCTGGCATATAGGGACCATCAAAAACTCTATTCAAGAGCACTAACCACTGCCAGATCACAATACTGTTCAAACGCCTATTGAATAGAACACCTCAATACTATTAAACAACAACCCTGGAAATTCAAAACAACTTTTCTCCATAGTAAACAAACTCATCAAACCAAAGACCAATGCATGCAATAACCAATCAGAACACGAGTGTAATAAATTCATGGCACATTTCATTTTAAAGACAGACCCGTACCTCACTCTCTGCTACTGGCAACCTCAGATGAAGTTGCCAGTAGCAGACTCAGAAGTTGGCTTCTCTCAGTTCACCGCTGCTACTGAGAGAGAAGTTGAGGGAATTGACCCCCTTGACCCCCTTCCCACTCCTCTGGTCAAATCCAATGCCTCTGCAATAAGCCCACTTATCACTGCCATAATAAACCAGTCTCTTCAGAGCGGCCACATCCCACCCACACTAAAAAGAAGCCATCATTTGTCCTCATCTTAAAAAACCATCTCTGGACAACATGTCCTGTTTCCATCAGTGGGACCAATTAGAGGGAATAGGCAAAAAAGCAGATGTGCAGTCTCTATGTATTGTATAACATCAGTTTGAAAAGCTCTCCATTGGCTCTTCAATGGATTATTATTAATTATTGATTTTAACAACATCAGAGCTGGTGCTCTGTGTACTGGGTGCAGCTCTGGCCACCCCCCTGACCCAGAAATGGATTAAGGGGAAGAAAATGGATGGATGGATGGATGGATTTTAACAACATTCTGCCGGTATATATAAGCCTTCAAAATGTCCGTATACATGTCTGTACAAATAAATGGTTGCTAAATAGTGTGTGGATATGAATAAATTATATCATATAAACGTAATGCAAAACCTAATGAAACCCGTGATTTGGAATAATGTGAAACTTCAGGCTTGTGTGCAGTGTATGTTCCCACTCACCGGCCAGAGGTGCCAGGGCCGAGAGACACAGCAGGAGGCTGAGCATGATGAAGGAGCTCCACCTGTGCAGCTGAGGCAGGAACAGAAACAAACACAATGTTTACTGTTGTTTATTTCAGTCATAAAAAAGAAGCTATACCCGATTTATTTTCTAATGAGTTCATAAAAATTCTTATTACTACATACAAGTTGTATTATAAACTGTAATTTAATTGAAAACTTGAGCTCAATGATTCAGTGGTGTATGAATTCAGGCCTTATAAAAGTGCTGAGTAGAGACTCTCCTCCAATCACAGAACGAGGCAGCGTCCTCTAACCTCTACAGCGCTGCTAAAAACAGTAACATGTTAGCAGAATTGGCTATAACTCTTCTTGCTGTAACTGCAGACACAGAAAATCAGCCCAAACGACACAACAGTGAGGAAGAGAAGAGGGAACTAAAGCGAAAAAATGATCAAAGAAGAAATCAAGCCCGGGTGAACATGGCTAGCTTACATTGTATCCTCTGGAGAGACTTGTCTATGGGAGAGACCTGCGGGACCGCCTCGGACTATCTATGCTCGGACTATCTGTGCTCGGACTATCTGTGCTCGGACTATCTATGCTGGGACTATCTGTGCTCGGACTATCTGTGCTCGGACTATCTGTGCTCGGACTATCTATGCTCGGATTACATTCGGACGCGGAACTAGCGGTAATCTTTCAGTTATATATTGTGTTAGCAGTGTTTTGCTTTTGTACCATTTCATCAGTGATTGTTGTACAGCTTAAGTTGCGCTTATGCTAGAAGAAGCATGAATCAGAAGATGTTAGAATCAGATCGCAAATACAACTAGATGGCTTTGTGGGATGAGAGCGTAGGGGAAATGAGAAGGCTCTGAGCGAGTTGGGAGGCGGTGCTAAACACTCAAACCTTGCAGAAACGGGTAAAGCTCCTTTAACTCCTTTAAGCTACTTTAAGCTACCTAAGAAAGAGCAGATAATCTATAATCTTCACTTTGAAATAATTTAGACCTACTTGATAAAGATAACATACAATTTAAACCTAGAATTAAAACAAAAGATGGAACTATAAACCATGAACTAATCACCTGTCGGGCGTTGAGAGGAGGCTGAAGATTCGAAGGCTGAGGTTTCAAAGACTGAACAGAGGATTTCTCTGAAGATCTGTGACTCAATGATGCTGAGCTGTTCCCTTTTATGTTGATTCAGGTGTAGAAAAGGTGTGGCCACCTGTCCATACATGGCAGGTCGAGGCGTGGTCATAAACCTGTCCTGCAAGATGGAGCGAGGTATTAGCAATAGCTTTATTACTGTAAATATCCTCGACTTTATTTGGGGATGATAAAACACCTGTACTTCACAAATTTTATAGGATTTACAACAAGTCAGCCTGCAACGTTAGGTGCTCTGGGGCCATTAAGGTCACATATTAATAAACAAGTTTATCTGTATGATCACAATGTACTATAGAAACAGGTACAGAAGATCTGCAAGTATGTTTTACCCTATACCCTATGGTATTTTTTCTCAAAAAGAGGTACGGAGCTCCCTTGGGGCCTCAGGGGCACCATCTCCTCCTGCAGCCTTGCATCGCAACAGAGTGGAGCGCAGCAGATAGTGAGAGTTGAGGTTTATGGGAGCAGTTAGTGGTAGTCGAAAACATTCCTCAGGCTCAACTAATTTTGCCTGTTCCCTCTCGAATTATGATACCCAAATGGAAATGCTTATTGTGTGGACATCTTGTGTCTGATGTTGTTGATGTTATGATGCCTCATTTGAAAGGTATCACACACAAGTGAATACTAATACTGATGCTGTTAAATTAAAAATATTTGAATCCATCTGAATATCTAAATGAAAATAAATGAATGAATGAATGAATCCTGTATAGGGAGAGTGATTCTTAAAGGGTTGAATTCTGTGTTGCTAATTTCTTACATTATTATTGAGATAATCGTACAGGATAAATGACTTGGAGCTTCCCTGTCTCATTAAAAGGCCACTTTTGAAACAGAAGGAAGGACAATGAAGGAGAAGGCAGCTCGGGGCTGAGATCAACATGATGTAATGCACACCAATGTATTTCAGCCTCACATATCTTGGTCAGCAAACAGATACAATATGATGATTTTTCATTTTTTCTAAACAAGAGTGCCTTGGACTAGCCCAAGGCAGTCCTCTTGAAAACTGCCTTCAATTTTCCATGTCTTAAGTATGTCCTGAAACAAATTAACGCACCTGACGTCTCTCTGCAGCTCGCAGTGGCTGTCATCAATGATCTACTCTCTTTCTGAAGACACAAGATGTATGATGAGAAGGTATGCATGCGTGTTTAGGTAATTGGTCCTTAAACAATGGGTGGAATGTTTTGTAATTTCAGTAACAGTGACGCCACAGTTGTCATACTTGACTTATTACTGACACATTCTTGTTTAAAGTTCATGTAGTTTCTATCAATTAACCACTAAAATTCCTTTCTTTCAATGACATGGACCATCTCTGTGTGGAGCGAGAGGACAAATGCCCACAATTGTAAACCGCTTTGTGACTCTGGTCTGTGAAAGGCGGTATTTAAATAAAGATTACTTATCTGCTTACTTTCTTAGACGCTAATGAGCAGGAGCAGTTACTCTCTAGTTTCTTAAATACCCAATAATGTGTGCTACTGCTATGAACATCTAAGCACAACAGATACAGGAGCTTATGTTGGCAGGCATTCACTTACACGTATTGGAGTAGGGTGCATCAGAGAGTTCTGAGTTAAGTTATACTTCATTGTCCCTGTAGGGAAATTTGTACTCTGCATTTGACCTATCCTGAATGCAAATATTAAAATAAGATCAAATAGAATCTTTATTGATCTCACAATGGAGACATTTACATGAAAGAGGTAAATTGTAGTTGGAGATTCTCTTAAACAGTGAGGTCCCCGTTTATTTATAGAGAACCAAAGCCTGTGAAGCATGGCTCACCAGGTAACACACATGTGCACTAGTGTAATACTAAAAAATCCTTTACATTACATTTGGCATCAATAGGATCACTTCGGAGCGGTGACCTGGAGCAAATACACAAACAGATACACTTCAATGATTTTTCACTATTTCTAAAAAACAGAGGGCCTTGGGTTTTACATCTATACATTCACCTAACATTGGCCCAATGCAGTCCTCGTGAAAACCGCCTTCAACTTTTCACGTCTTAAGTATGTCCTGAAACAAAAGAACGCACCTGCTTCCCTCTCATCCAACAAACATCTTCCTTCCAGGGACCTCTTGAAAATAGGAACCAGCCCCTCCAACAGAGGTGACCCCTGCCAAAGCAACTAATAACTGTAAAGGCCAAGGTGGCTGCCCCTGGTAACAGCGGCTCTCTTTGCAGTCCACAGTGGTTGTCAGTGTTGGGAGTAGTGTATTACAAAAGTAATGTAATTACTGTAATGTATTACTGTTTGCCGTAACGCAGTAATGTAAGGCATTACAAATCAAAAACTGGGTAATATTTACTCGGTACAAAGTTTAGTAAGTTGAGTTACTTTGCATTTTAACTCCACTCCTTTGCTCAGTGCTTGGTGACATAAGAGACATAGAGCCTATGTGATAGATGAGTGGCTAAGCTCTGGTTTGATCTTTAAAGCGTCCAAAAAGAGTCCGTATTCACATTCAAATATGGGTTATTTCCAAATAAAATGAAACATGCTAAAGTAATACTTATCCATAAAAATGGTAATGGTACTAATTTTCACAAACTGCAGACCAGTCTCACTTTTGCCCCAATTTTCTAAAATTCTGGAAAAATTGTTTTATAGCAGGCTTGAAACGATCTTCGATAAACACAACATAATCCATGAAAGTCAGTACGGGTTTAGGAGGAATAGATCATCAACAATGGCTATAATTGAAGCAGTGGAGGATGTTACACAAGCCTTAGACAAGGAGAAATATGCAGCAGGGATATTCATAGATCTCAAGAAAGCTTTCGACACATTAGATTATACTATACTACTCAATAAACTTGAATTATATGGAATAAGAGGAGTTGCCCACAATTGGATCAAAAGCTACCTGACAGACAGAATGCAGTTTGTGAAAATGGGAAACTACACTTCTGGATACTTGAGCATTGCTTGTGGTGTTCCTCAAGGGTCAATATTAGGACCAAAATTGTTTAATGTATATATTAATGACATGTTTAACATTTCCAGTTAATTTAAGATGATCTTGTTTGCAGATGATACCAATATTTTTTATTCAAATGAGAACTATACAAATGTTGTTAATAAAATTAACTCGGAGCTAGCCGAATTAAAATCATGGATGGATGCCAACAAGCTCTCACTGAATCTAACCAAAACGAAAGTTGTGATGTTTGGCAACTGCAAAATCAAATCAGAATTATTGATAAACATAGATGGTGTCAAAATTGATAGGGTATCTGAAAACAAATTTCTAGGTATAATAATGGATGACAAATTGAACTGGAAACCCCACATCAGACACGTACAGACCAAGATCTTAAAATGCATTGCAATAATAAATAAAACCAAATATATCCTTGACTATAATGCTTTGAATTTATTGTATTGTTCGCTTGTACTACCCTACTTAAACTTTGGTATTGAGGTGTGGGGAAACAACTATAAAAGTTTACTACATTCCCTCAAGATATTACAGAAACGTGCAATAAGAACAATAAACAAAGTGGGCTATCTCGATCACACTAATGTTTTATTTTTGAAATCAAAGCTCTTAATATTGGAAGACCTGGTTAATCTTAACACTGCAGAGTTGATGTTTAAAGCTAATGCAAAAATTCTACCAGCCAATATTCAAAAGACATTTATCAAAAAGGAATATGAGCATAACTTGAGAGGATGTAGTAACTTTAAACTCCCAGCCGTCAGGACCACAAGGAGGAGTTGGTGTGTATCTGTCTGTGGGGTGAAGCTCTGGAACAGCCTGAGCCAGGAGCTGAAGCAGTGCTCAAGTATCCAGCAATTCAAATCACATTCTAAAAAGATGATATGGACAAAATATGAGAGAG